CCCCCCCCCAGCTTCCTGCAGTGTCCTCCACTCCCCTCCTTCCCCCCCCAACCCTGTTCTGTGTGGTGTTCCTCATACCCCCTCTGTACACTCTGGTGTTCCCAGTTTTCCCACCCCCTGCCCATGCCCCACCCTTCTGTGCACCATGCAATGTCCACTGTGCTTCCTATTCCCTGTCATGCACCCCTCTCCCACTGCTTAAGCCAGCTCAAGAAGCCTGGCCTGGTACTCAAATCCAAGGTGAGGTGGGGTTGTTTTTTTTCCCCTCCCATGTTGAATGGGGACCTCATCTTGGATTTGAGTAAATGCTGTATTTGCCCATTTCCATTTTCACAACTCGTGTAGTGTATGCTCATGCCTTGCAGAGTTGCTTTGTGAAAGAGGTCATGTGATATGGCTGTGGTCACGGCATGAGTTGGTTTGGCATTGCCCAGGTCATTAGGAAGTTTTCCATTTGTTTAAAATTTCTCTGCCAGCTTTTCAGGAAGGCTGCGCACCAGCCCTGGTCTTGGAATGCTTTGAACATTCCAAGCTGTAGTTTGCACTGAGGCTTGTGTGTAGCAATAGTCTAAGATCACAGATGTGTGGGGTGGGGATGGTGAGGGGAGCCTATGAAGCCGTCTGGCCAGGCAAAGACCCTGTAAAACTTTCCTGAGCCTGAGACTGCATACTGTTTTTGTGTTGTGGAGCTCAAGAGTTTGAATTTGAGAGTAAATGGTTGAGGGTCCCTGTGCTTTGGCTGGGATGTTTCTAGTTCCATTTAGTTGGTAGTGTTTTCACTGCCTTGTTAGTCACCCCTTACCCTAATGCCTGGAGATGCTGCTAAATGATTTTACTGGACCTTGACCCGTGCAAGTTCCCAGCCAGCATTCTTCTATGATGAGACCACAGGCGGGCAAAATACAGTCCTGCAGGCCGGAACCAGGCTGCCAGGCCATTCTATCCAGCCCGCCAGCCCCCTCCAAAAAAACAATTACTCCTCCATGGCTGCCCCTCTGAAAGCTGGTGGGACACGTGGGCTTTCAGAGGTTGCGCACCACTGTACCTAGTGGGCTCTGTACTTCTATGTACGTGGGGCTCCCAGCACTCCATTTGGGAGCCCCATGTGGAAGCACTGAGCACGATGGCTTGCAACTGGACAGCTGGTGAATGGGGAGGGAACCTCCTGCTGTGGGAGGGAGGGATGGGTGTGGGGTTGGTAGGTGGGCATGGGGATGTTTGCAGGTGGGTGTGAGCCCCTTGCCATGGTCCCCCCCTCCCCTCTGCACACAGCCCCTGCTGCCAGCAGCAGCAGGCAGTGGGCTCTTGGGGCGCTAATGGCTGCAGCAGTCAGAGCCCCCTGGCAGTGTGCGGCTCCTTGAGTCCTCAAGCTAAGCCAAGCTGGCTCCATGCCAATAAGTGGGGTTTGTGATACTGCAGGTGGGAGTTGCACATCATTGGGCTGGGCCAGGCCAGCTCCATGCATCTGCACAGGGCTTCTAGCCCTCTGTGCTGCCATGTGCAGCTCCCAAGACTCAGCTGGAGCTGCGTGCCACCAGGGGGGCTCTGCCTGCTGCAGCTATGAACACTTCAAGGGCCCGCCACCTGCTGCTGTTCCTGGTGGTCAGGGCTATTGGGAGGGGGCGTGGCAGCAGAGGCTGTGTGCATTGGGGGAGAGGGCCATACCACCCCCACACACTTCCACCCCCACACACTTCCACAAACCCCCCAGCCATCCACAAACCCCACACCCCTTCACAAACCCCACACCCCTTCACAATCCCCCCACAAATCCTCTTTCTCACACACACAGACACCCCACACCCTCTTCACACAATATCCAAAAGTAATACTTTATTTTGAGCTATTATGCAATCATCTCTATAAACACTATGCAAATGCATATAAATCAGGACAGTTTTTTAAAAATAAAATTAAAATATATATACAGTAGATGTTTGATTTTTAGTATTTGATTTGTGGGGTTTTTTTCCCGGTTCCAAGATGTCCCCTCCTCCCCCCCGACTACTTCCAGGGACAAGGGGAGGGACTTCTGTTGGCAAAGGTCAGAGGTTAGGAGTTGGGACTCCCAGTACCAAGATGGCAATTGGTGTGGGTCACCTGTCAAAGGGTGGGGCTACCCTCGTGGCCCTTGACAGCTCACCAAAAGTTGTTAAGCGGCCCTGCAGCCAAAATAATTGCCCATCTCTGGGTTAGACTCTAGCAGTCACCCACATGAAAGCTCTTTGTGGCTTTCAGGCCTCTTGATGTTGAATGAAGGCTGTGTAACTAGCCTAGTACAGCCCAGCCCAGCCCAGGAGGCAGTTGTTTCAAACTTGCTGGAGCAGCTGCTGATGCTTAGTTGCAAGGAGGAGGTCCCTGGGGGATCAGATCAAGCTCTGTCCCTTCAGGGCCAAATCGTGGGGCATGTTTATACGCAGAGAAGACAGTCTATGCACAACAAGCAACAGGATCAGTACATGGTTTTTCGGGAAAAAGGGTCTGCCCCCTTACCTGCTGACGGCTTCATGGGGGATCCCAGCCTCCTTCCTCCTGAGCTTGGGGAGGAAGGGTGTTGTCTCAATCTCTCATCTTTGCATGGTGGCACTATGCTCTGCGGTTTGCTAACACACACTTATCTTTTACCTTCCACTCTGCTGGCTGTAGGGTTACCATATTTCCAGTTCCAAAAAAGAAGACACCTGTTGTGCCAGGGGAGGGAGGGTATGTAACTGTGGGGGGTGCAGTGATATGTCATGCCTTGCCCCAGCCCCCACCCCAGCTGCCCCTCACTCCCAACCCGCAGTACCCTGCCCCCCTGGGTCATGCTGGTGCCCCTCACTCCCAACACGCAACCCCCTGGTGCTGCCAGTGCTCTGGCCTCCTGACCCAGAGCGTTGTTGTTTCTCCCCCCATGTGCCCCTCACTCCTGACCCGCAGCCCCCTGCTTCCCCCAGCCCTGCAATGTCTCACCCTGCCCCCGTGAGCACAGGCACTGGCCCCTGTGCCTCTGGGCCAGGCATGCAGTTCCCTGCCATCCCTGAAGGCCAGCCCCTGCCCCTCCATCCCCTTCCGCTGCTGCAGAGGCAGGCACCTCCCCTACCCTGTTGCAGCCCCAGCACCTGTACAGCTTACCCCAGCGCCCACAGTCCCCAAGCCCTGGTCCTCCAACCTCTACCCCCTACAGACTTAACTGTAGCCAGCTGCCTGGCTGCTCCTGCTCCCTGCCTGGCTACATGTGGGCCTCTTGTGTGTGTGTGCCCTGCCTTCAGTCACCCTGCCCCAGTCCCAAGCAACTCCTTGCTATGGTAAGCTGGGAATTGCCAGGAAAAACTTTGAGGCAGAGCTGACCAAAATCCCAGACATTTGATCATATTTTTAAAAAACACCTGGACTGAGATTGGAGGATCTAAAAACAGGACACGTCCAGGAAAACCTGGACAAATGGTAACCCTATATAGCCCCTGCCTTGCTGTAACTGTTCCTTTGCAGGTTGTACTTGTCCCAGGTGCACTGCTGCCTACTCAGTCCCCTTCCCCCTCTACCAAGCTGCTCTGTTTTCTTTGTTCCTGGCTCTTGCTGCCCTGGCAGGGACATGTGTTGATTCTGCTGTTTGTCAGCTGCCTTGTCCTATGGTTCAGATCTCTACTTCTTCCCTATGAAGGTTAACCTGGCTCCCAGGGAGTCCTGCCCTGCTT